CATTCCTTGCGTAGGCCACTGGCCTGAATAGTGGAAAACAAGTACAGACTATTCCACCTAAATGTCTTTAAGAGAGAAAATGAAACTGCTGGTGTTACAGTACAGTTACAAATTTCAAAGCAGTTTTAATCCCAAAAGCAAAGAAATTCAGCCTGATGGCAAGGTAAGAAATTCAGAATACTGCAATTTCATGATTCATAATATGAGTAAGAGAGCATCTAGTAAACAGTGCTTCATAGTCATGCACTGAAAAATACAAAAATAAAATATAGTATCACATTCAAGTATTTTCAGTGTCTCAGCCAGTTACCAGAAGGTACAGACTGACAATGTTTGGTATATACTGAGCAGTTATTCATACAAAAGAAACCAAACTAAACCAAGTTAAAAAAAAACCTAAACAAAAACAAAATAACAAACATTAGCTGTCTCAGACTCAACAGATACTTCAAGGTTTGAGAAGCATGAAAATAGAGCAACTGTCAAAATGAGAAATCTAAAAGTTGATGCTCACAGTGTCTGATAACCAGTCAGCTCATCTTGAGCAAATTCCAGAGTAAAACCTCATTGAAGTGAGAATATTCTGTGGCCAACTGGCTCTGATAATGAAAATTTACTGAACCACTCTAATTCTGGTTTGAAAATTATCTTATGGTATAATAAAACTTTAGGAAAAAATCTAATGAAGCCTCTGTAATATATTTGCACTTAAACTAATACATTTTCCAGGTCAAATCATAGAATCATAGAATTACAGAACAATTTGGGTTGGAAGGGACCTTAAAGATTGCCTGGTCCCACCCCCTTGCCATGGGCAGGGACACCTTCCACTATCTCAGTTGCTTCAAGCTCCATCCAACCTGGCCTTGGGCAATTCCAGGGATTGGGTAATCACAGCTTCTCTGAGCAACCTATACCAGGGCCTCCCCACCTTCATAGTAAAGATTTTCTTCCTAATATCTAATCTAAACCTACCTTCTTGCAGTTTGAAGACATTCCCTTTGTCCTGTCACTACAGCTCTGGATGGAAAAGACAGATTTCATGTTGATTTTGTATTTCCTACTGAAGGAGAAGGCTGTAAAGGGAAATGCTTTCAAAAGAGTTTCTGCTGCTCCTCTCAGATTTTTGCTTGAAGTGAATAATACAACTCCTGTGTGGAAGGGTAAACAACTACATAATTCTTTTCAGGACCAAAACTGTACTGGAAAAGCTAACAACTTCGATGACAGGCTTCCCAGAGAGGCCAGTCAGTAAGAAGCATGAGCTGCCCTCCTAACCTCGGACTGAATGGACATCAGCATGTTATCCATAGACATCAATTGAGCCCACAGCTTATTCCTGTGAGGTCAAACAAAACCATAGAGGAAAAACTGTTCAGCGAAGGCTATGAGGTTTTCTACACAGGTAGAATTTCCCAAAGGGGTTCTAACATTCACATTAAAACTTTGAAAAAAGCTGCTAGGAAGCATGTTTTACAGCTTAGACCCACAGTCCATTATTCAAAGGAGATTGTGTAGTTAGTTCCCCTCTGAATTGCTCAATGCAATAAATATATCACAATGATCCTTAGGAAAAGTCTTATGGATATTTTTTTAAATAATACTTCAATAATGCCACAGGTCCTACTTACAAAATATTTTAATATAAAGCTTCAATTTTAGGATTAGTATGAAATGAGGTCAAATAGGATCAGGTTTTTAAAGTATTTTTAAAAGATGAATGAGTCCTAATTAGATATTTATCTATCATACACGTTTTAAATTTCATTAAGAACCCAGTGTCCATCCAGAGTAAAGTGACAAGGCTTACCTGAAGTGAAAGTATTGGTGGTACTTTCAAACAGCTGGCCCTACATGCTTCTGAAAAACTGATGGTATTAAAAGACATACAAGCATTATTAATGTAATGATTTGTTTTAAGAAGGACTACAGACAAACCCATTTCTTAAGATGTTAAAAATCACAGGCATATGTAAAGACTATCACTTCACTGAAGCCATCATAAAATAAGAATATTATCTAAAAATAATAAGCTGGTTGGTTTTGTTTTTCAGTAGTGTTTCTCCAAAGACATAATTTTAATTGTAGATTAGTTTTGTTCTTGTGGTCTTGTTGATGCATTTTAGGCAAGCAACATACATCATTAACTATACTGTGTAGGGGATCACATTTCAAACAGAGCTTTGTCTGGCCAAGCTACTACAGCCTGTCTGATTGTTGCAGAATTGTCATTAAATGGAAATGATACCTGGGAATATTGAACTTAATGTTATGTTTTGAAATAACATGAATAACATTACAGTTGTTTTAATGAAATCCATAGGAGAAAAATGTCATTAAACAAAGCCACAATATTGGCCCTGGTGCCCTGGTCAAATTCCAGTCTGGCTGATTGTATTCTGACATCTACTATTTTTCAGTTTGAATCTGGTATGTTTGTGAACAATCCTCACTGTTTGTTCATTGATATGTTAATGCCTTACATCATCAGCTTTTTGCTGTTTGTCCCCCCAGAGTTAGTTAGCTGTCACTCTTGTCCATCCAAATGCTCTTAAATGTCCATCCAAAAGCCATAACTACAGTGCATGACCTTGAAAAGATCCCTTTAAATCTACCTTCCCACAGTTCAGCGAGTTACTTAGATATTTCTTAACCTAACAAGTGAGCATGCATATAACTTATTTCAGTGTTTGTCAAACACACAGCACAGCCTCATGTCCCACTTCTGACAAAATGAGATGACACAGTCCTTTAATATGTGCTTGAAGCTGGGCACAGAGGGGTCCTGCCACACACTGGTGCTTTAGTTAGGGTCAGGAAGGTACTCTGAGCAGTACCTCCTCATCACCTCCACTTAACCACAACTTGCTTCCAATTGTAATCTCTGAGAACATGACCTAAAACAGATGAACTTTAAGTCCAGGAGAACAACTTATTCACCTCAGCACCAGCTAATTATTGACACAACAGACCTCGAGTATAGAAAGTCCAAAGTTAAAAATAAATTCCCAAGGTGTGGACTTCAGAATAAACTGTTTTTTTCTACAGCTCTGCTCGTGTTGGTTCATACCACTAGCTTATGGACACATAGGCATATTCAAGTGCTTTATTCAAATGAGCAGATCTGCTTTGCTTTATCTTACTGGTCTTTGACTTAAGGGTCAAAGTCTGAATTGAAGTGTATTTGAGAAAGCCCTTCTAACATTGTTGAACTCTGTAGGTTTTAGAGAGCTTATGGGGGAAAACATTTTGAAGACCTAATTCCTGGCTCATTGAAAGGTTTAAAAAATGTAGGACAACAATTTTGAATTTCCTTGTTTAAACATTCAGTCATGAACTTTCATAAAGCAGCTTTTATTGTGCCTGTCACATCTCACAGTCATAATTTCTAATATCATTCCCAACTTCCCCCCTCCATGCCCTTTAATCTTGAATGGTCAAATCCAATCCAGACATTCATGCACACAAATTTTCTTGTTCATGAGATCAGACATGATCATCAAGGAGCATGTAAAAGCATTTAAATCAGGCATATATACTTTTATATGCACTGACAATAATGAAAATATAAAAGTTCAACAAAAAGTAAGGTCAGAAAGAAGTACTGCCAAATATCAATGAAAGAGTATCTTTGTATCACTCAGTGAATAAAGCATTCCAGAAAATCTCATCTATGAGTAACTGTAGATAACCAGCCGTATCCTATTCCTGGTGGGGTCAGGTGCAGTGTCCTGTTCTCTCGACAGAACAACTGAATCTACATCCCTCCCAGTCTAGTGTATAAGCACAAGGCACTGCTGTTTGAAGCCTCAAGCTGTGCATTAAGCTGCAGCTGGATTGTCTCCATTAGGGTTTTGTCATAGCCTAATTTAGGGAGGAAGTCAATGATCTGGAAAACAGATGTGAAGTTTTAAGTGTACATAATCAGATCTTTAGGACTAATTTCAGGTTTGACGCTGCCTTGGATTTTCTGCCTTCAGGTAGAAGAAAGAAGACAAAGAAACGGGAAGAAGAGTGACAGGATAAGCGGAAAAAAGTAGACAGAATTGTGTGAACACAGACAGATATTAATGAACCTAAACCCACCATTTTATTTAACTGTTACTTATGTCTGCACAGGAGTCAGGCATTTGAAAACAATCACAGTGTATATTAGGAGTGGAGTGTCTTAAGATTTCCATATAGTGAAATATCTTTTTTTTTTCTTCCTTTTCAAAGCTTCTGCTTAGGATTAAGGATATTTTCCTTTCAATACCAGGTCACAACCAAGCCATTCTAACATGGTCTCTCTCTAACTCACTCCCTTGCACATACACACATCAATACAAACAGCAAGGCGAGAAGTAGAGAGGGAGAAAAAGGAAAAGGGTGAGCAAAGATTATTAAAGGCATTGAGAGACCCACAGTCATTGCCCTTGTAGTCAAAAAAATATGATGCTCTAGGGGTATAGTAGCTAAATCTTGTATACAAATCAAAGTGAATTCAAGTCCCCGTCTTACCTGAACATTTTAATAACATAGTCACTGCATCTTCAGGCAAAGATAATCTCATATATATTTCTTTATTTTAACTAATTATGGGGGGGTTCTTTTCAGTTTGAGGTTGATAAGCCTTTAATTAATCTAGTATGCTTAGGAAAAAAGAAAATCTTTAATGATTGGTAACTTCCAAAGAAAATAGGGGATTTTTGCCCTAAAGGTCCTGACAAGCTTTTTCTGTGTTCAATACATATATATAACTTCCAACAAAAATTGAAAAACTTTTTCAAGTAAAAACAAAGAAGGTTTGTTTGTGATTTACCAAGGCTACTTTAAGTTCCACAGCACATGAATAAAAAGCACAACAAACACCTTAATTTATTATGAGTCCTAGTTTGCTGGTCTTTGATTAAACCTCACCTTGTATTAATAATTCTCAGTGATACTGTACAACATATGCTACGGAAACCCCTGAGGCAGGCAAGGAAAACCAAGCCAAACACAGTGGAGAAGTCACTTACCTGTCTGAACTCTTCAAGATCTATTTTGTTTCCCACCAGTACCACAGGGATGTCATAGGTGTGCCGGACACGATAAATGAGCTCCTTGAACTCAGCAGCTTCTTGGAAGGATTGGCGGTCTGTGATGGAGTAGCAGATAATGAAGCCTTCTCCACCCCTCATGTATTGGTCCCTCATGGCTGTGAATTCTGCCTGCAGAATAGGCAGAAAACATATACTAATTTGGCAAACAAAATTATCCATCTGTAAATAACAAACTTGCTAAAAACCTCCACGATTCCCCATATAATTTCACACTGCTCGTTTTTTACTCTTTTGAAAGCTGCTTGCTGAAACTTGTGCATCCTTCTTGGTTCATCCACCACAATAAAAAGGATTTCTCTGAGGACTTTTTTTTTTTACCTTTTCCTATCAAGGGAACTCTATCCTTTAAGAATATGAACTTACTATACCAGTGTCTGTATACAGAAAATACTGCCTCATGTATTACCAGAACCTTCTGCAGTACTGCCAGTACAAAGAGATGATGTGCATTTGAATGAGTATTAACAGGTGCAATAGAAAAGCTATATTACTATCTAGGGATAATAATATCTAGGTACAAATTCCTTATTATACCCTCAATTCAAAAGCTCAGTAATATCAAAAAATATTCATTGTCTCTCACAGGCTTTGGAATAGTGCCTAGCAAAACAAGGGTAAAATCTGCAAAAAGTTCTGCTCTTTTGAAGGCTCTCAGAAATGCTAGGGGTTTCAGTTCAGTGTGGGATAGTGCCATTAAATGAGAATGAACAATTTCGAATAGTGAGAGAATTGGTCCAATTTTCTGCTCCTGCATTTTTCTCTTTTTATGTGTGTATTTATTGTCACAGCAACACTTCTGGTTACTGGTATGCTTTTTTCAGAAGTACTTAACAACTGCCACATTGTACAAAAATTGAGATTTAGTTTTCAAAAACTAGTCTCAGGAACTGTGGCTTGAGAATATGTTTTAAAGCCAGTTTCTTTCTCAAGTTTGTTTGCTTTTCTTGATCACAGCTCAGAATAACCCAATACCATGGCAACAGTCGGTCAGGATCAGAATCCTCCTGACAGAATCAGTTCTCCAGAGATATTAAGATGCAGGGAGGTCTGATAAAAAAAGAGTACACATATCAACATTGAACCATTTCTATGAGAAGCAGGATGCAATATCAAATCCTGTATTTTTTAGTCTATTGAGAATTTATGCTAGGATTTTTTAAACAGTTTAGGTTACATATATATATCCTCAGTCGTTGCTGAAAATTAAAGGGAAATGGATTGCTTATGTTCTTTTAAAAGTCTCAGCCTTAAATCTCTCTCAATAGTCATTCATGTTGATTGACAATGCTTCCTGTGAATAGACTTTCATGTTGACCATTATCATTTATTTATGATGTGTCTTTTACCCAAAGGCTTTATATATCATTGAAAATATTTCACCTGCTAGAGGAAAAAGTTCATCGAACTAAGCTTCAAAATGGCAGACTAATAGGCAATTTAAGGGTAGGATTCTGCTTTGGGACTTACTCAGAATTTCAAAATCTCTACATTATCATCCCTGGCATCCCAGGAGAGTTTATTAACCACCAAGCTAGAGCACAGAGTGGATCAAGTCATACTCTAGCCTACCCTTTTGAAATTGGATCTGCAAACAGTAGGGCAGTGGTGGGGAGAAACACTGCAGAGATCAAATAAAAAGTATTCCTACACTCTATGGTTTGGACAAGACACTGAATGGAGATGTGTCTCTGTTGCCAGGTCTTTCCTTGCCATCTATGTTAGACAGTCACTAGAATAATAGACAATGTAATACCAAAGAGTCTCCAAGTTAAGAGCAGGGAGTGTTAATGACAAAACCCAGTCATTGACTGCATTCCTTGTTCTCAGATTCCAGGCTTTTATGCCAGAACAAAGTCTCACAGCAGACCCCTGTCCCTCATGCCCCTGGTTTTCTCCTTGCATCAGTCACCCAGAACTGTTCTGCACCAGGAACTGAACTAGACTAGGATCTCTTCAAGCTTAGCAGACAATGGCAACCTTCTGTGAAGTTAACCTTGTGGATTAGACTCCTGAATTTTGTTGTCTGTGTAGCTGCAGTCAGCTACCTGAGCTCTTGTTATAACAAATGGTGAGCTATTCAATGCCATTAGTGGACTACAGATTGCTTCTGCTGATGAAAAAATAGTTATCTCTTTAGTTACCTAATTAATTATTTTCTTGTATCTATTATTTATTTTTAGAGCATTGGTAAAACAGAACAGAGACTCTAGTTAAAAGTGCATGTTTTCATATGGAACATAGAGCCCAGCCCAGATGACCTGCATTCCTGAATAAGAAATTTCATAAGTCAACCATTGTAGCACTGCATAACTGCTCTGCACAGACTTTTAAAGAGAATGAGCTCTGTTTAAGTGAGGTGATCCACCTTTAGGAAGTGCTCAGAACTTTGTACACTCCTTTATAGCCATTTATGGCAAACTGAGAAGGAATTAGGTCACAGGTCCCTGTTTAAGTTACTCACAGTAAGTGACGTTCTGCAGCGCGAACAGTACCAGGATCACTCCCCAGGGATGCTTAATGGCTTTCCTTGACTGACAGGAGACCCTGGGTTCCTGATTTTACACACTGAATCATTCCAAAGGGACAAAGTCCTCAGCTTTTAGAGACTGCCACTCTTGAGTCAGAATCATTTACCTACACGTTCCGGTTCATGTCGGGCATATTTAAGGCTTTAAGGATATGAATGAATTTACCTATGCAATTTTTTATTATAGCATATTATTGCTGTTGATATATTAGACTAAACAGACAAAATGCTTTAGTGCCATGTTTGCAGTGATCAATTTTCAGAGGCATTAAGTATTCTGTGCAAACTGGACTGGGGACATCCACTTGGCTTTCCGTTGTTAACTCAGCTAGTCATTTCCATTCCAATTTTTTGATGTTGACTTTTACTTCTCAGCTTTTTCCCCTTGGCATGATTGCACAGTACAGAGTCAAGGACTCCAAGGTCAAACCTAAATAAGCCTTTTATTTGATTTCAAAAGAAGTGGATTTTTTCTTTGTTCATGAGGAACCTCAACATAATAATACATAGCAAGAAAAAGACTAAATATAATTGTCAATAAACATAATATAACCCTTGCAACACTGTATGCATATTATATACAAGACAAAGGACTAACATGCAACTAAATGTTTTTGTTCATTTTTTATTTCAAGTCCTACTCTATATTTCACATTTTTTCCTGTTTCTTTACAACAAGAAAAACCAAAACTTAAGTTTGCCTGGATTTTGTGAATGTCCAGGGGTAGATAGAGAGAGATCCAAAGCTTTTGCAGACTTTTCAGTGGTTTTATTTTTATATTTTGTCTGGTTCTTTTATAAAATAAACAACAGTGTATCTGTGCAACTGACACATTAATATCTTCTTTAATTGTTTCCTGATGTACAAGGGACCTTTTAAAAATTATTCAGAAATAATACTGGGTATCAATTTCTACTCAGTAAGGGAAAAATATGAAACATTCCCAAGTCAGTAAATGCCAAAGGGAAGAGACAGAAGGAAATCACACCCCCTCAAAAGGAAATCAATTCTGAGAATTAAAGTGAAGATTTGTCATGCTTACAGCACTTTGCAGCTTGACATCAGTCTCTAATACTCTCTTGTGTATAATGACTAAGACTTAACTGAAAAGTGTGGTAAAAACTCTTCTGAAACAAAATCATTCTTCTTAGGAGATATGATACTTGAGAACAAGCGTCAAGCCTGGGTAGAAACAAAATAAAACTTTTCTAAAAGTTGAAAGAAGTCAACATAACTTTTTACTTTCCTTTTTCCATTGTAATTGATTGCAGCAAAAAACTGCTGCTAATCCTCATAGGACTGTATATGTCTACCTGTTGTTGAAGACTGTTGTCAAGTAAATCTCTCAATGGATAGGTTGCTCCTGAATAGATGTCACATTTGCCTTTCATCAGTTATCAGGCATCTCACATGATTTTTCAAAGGTATCAGAGTAGCCTCACAATAACACAGAGTAGCTCCCTCAACATGCTTGGATGTGTCTCATTGTGTTGTGCTGAACTGCACACACACACAACTTGACTCACTTCACCCTTGTTTCTCCCCCTCTACTCAGGGTGCTGTATCTCATTTAAACCTTCCTTGGAGGCACAAAGACCTGGGAGGTGTAAGAGTAGAGCTTGCCTCTCTGTCTGGACCAGAGAGAGTCTGAAGTGGGTTAGTACTTCTCATGTTCCTCATCACTGGATACTCACTCATTCCAGCAGCAGCCCTACATTTTTCCTGGTCTTCACGGAGTTGCCAGTGTACCTATAAGAAACCTATCTCATTGCCTTTTAACTTCTCAGAATGTTCAACTCCAGAAACAATTTGGCTTTCATAATCCGATTCATTCACAACCAAGAAATACTTCCATACCAATCCTTGGGAAACTGACCCTGTTTCAACATTTCATTTTTCTAAGTATGCTTTCTTTTTCTAGTAGCTTTTAATATAATAACTTAGTGAAGAGAAAACATCTAACCTCTCTTTTCTCTTCATCATCTTATCCTCTTTTACCCCATCTTTCATAATGAGCAAGAGAAATCTTTTCTCAAAGAGCAATATTGTTAATAAATTTTTAAATTCATACTGCTGTCATGGAAATATAAATAGAACTTGTATGTTGTTTGTTTTTTTTTTCATTAGAGACTTCTTTCCAAATAAGATCAGTATCTTAATGCCTCCAGAAGAGGAAACAAAGACATAGAGCAGCAAAGTCAGACTACACTTAGATACATAGATCTTTATGAAGACCTAGGTATGGTTTATGGGTTGCTATCAAACATAACAGCCTGGATCTCGTGTTCACCTCAGGACAATTCCACCTTGCTGACTGAAAGACTCTAGGAAAGTGTTTCACAAAGTTCCCCTAAGCCAAGCATGTTTCTTTACTGTTTCCTAAATATTTCCTCCTGGACAGTGCTGGAGAAAGATTGCTGGACTGGAAAAGGTTTTATTCAACTAGGAATACAAGTTGTTTGGAAGCAATGTCATCCACGTCACCATTTTACACCAGTAGAACCGTAAAGTGAAGCCAGTTCTCTCAGACCCCCGTGTTATGCATTGTTAATAGAGAACCTTGTCAACCCCTAAAGGATA